TTCAAACCCTGGGCCATGTGCATGGTCGGCGAGAGTCCTAACCACTTTTGCACTTCGCATCTTCATTCTTATCCTGATCGCACTCCTAATTTCAGAATTTTTAGACAACACTTGACATTTTTAAAACATTTTTCAATTCACTTATAATACAATCTTTAATAATTTTGCATTTTATCCACTTCAACTACACCCCTTATAACATTTTAATTATCGTTATTCCTATCGTATATATATATATGTGTATTGACTGAGCAATTATTTAGTGCCACTTAATAACCCTTTCTGTAATATAAATACGACTGTACAGCTTGAGAATGAAGTTGCTGAAAAGAAATTTCTTCGCTGAACAAAAAACTGTGTTTTTACTTATGTAGAAATCCTTCAAGTTTCTGCATTAGCAATACAATAACTCCATGCTAAATTATATGTTTCGTCCCTAAAAGTTAGAGGAAACCGTCGCCGCAAAGCAAGAAGGCCATCCGCAGCAAACCTATCCTCTCCGCTGGACAGCTGCTTTTCATAAGGTGGAGCAATCCAAGGCTTCAAACTTGGGGTTGAATACGACCTAAGTCTAGTCATACATCTAATCCCAACCGGCTCTTCTGTCAAAATAATTTTTGAAAGTATAGACTGATAATGCATAATGCCACAGAAGGAAAACGTAAAGTTTAAACGTGTTTCGAAAGCACGACGGTTGGCAAGTGAATAAGTTAGAACCTGGACACACTTGAAGTCAGTCATCATTCACTATCGTTCAACAAATAAGGAGAGCCCTACAAATCATTTAGGATGTATAATTCTTGCTTTAGTACTCTTCTTGTGGAGCCTCTGCAACACGGATTGTATCGTCACTCAGATGTAATAAGTGATTAGGGAAGTCAGAAGGATAGAACGAGAAACCAAGTAAGATCTGTGTCTTTATGATCTGTTAGTCTTTCTTTATCTACCGAATGATGAATGCCCTTCTATTCTTTTGACTAGGAGTTTTCTGCTTCACGTGGCTTCTTTCATGCTTTCAGAAATAAAGGTTCATAAACACCAAGAGTCTCCCACCATATTACAGCTCGTCGGTCGGTAATATGAGTATTCATGTTGATAGAAAAGTCGGTTTTTTGACCCTGAACTTTCTGAATTCCTTAATAATTAACCTTCACTGAACGCATTCATGATACCCTTTACTTATATAGGAAACCACCTGGTGTTTTAGTCCGCATGGATAAATAAATTGATCGTTGACGGTGAAACGTGTGAGGTTCACTTGAGTTGACGAACTTCTTTGATAGCCTACACTACTCCCCCATCAGAATCAACTGCGGTTGATTCGATCCATTGGCGGGAGTTGTTGCGAATAGGAGAATCTTGTCGAACATGTGACATCCGTTATTTATTGGAAATCCGAAACAGAAAGCAAAAGATCGACAGAAACCGGCAAAGGGAAAGAGTTTACTATTACTAGGAAAGTAGCACTACCAGTCTTGTGACAGACGAAACGATCACATCACAGCTTGATGGCAGCAGTGAGTGGTCAGGTTGATATAACTTCGTGACATCCGAATGTGCTAATAGAGTTCTTGAGATGGAAGGTTAATAAACGAACATGGACACGTCTTCAGTCAGTCGAATGTTACTATTTAGAGTGCATATGAAAATTAGTATTTTCGGCAGGAACTTAGTTCCCAATTCATATGTGAGGGGAGAAAATAATCCTTAGCACTTGATTTAAGTATTGTTGAATGAAACTGTGGGTTATGTTATATGGCAAACATGGATGCAACTACGAGAGATGGACTGCAAACTAAATGTCGCGTGATATCCCCTGGTGCATTTATATGAAGCGAATACTTGGTGGTGCTGAGGATCAAATGCTTGGTTATTCTGGGCAGTTGTAGGGCTATGCCTGTAATGCACAGTGGTAACTACTTGATAATAAACTGGCCTGGTTAGCCTTCTGAGTTAGTCTCTGAGATTGCTGTTCAATATGAAATGAAGATATGGTACAAGAGACGCCCAAGAGTATTTATTCCGCGGTTTGACTTCGCTTCGTTGACAGAGTTGGATGGGGTCACTTCACTGTAAGATGATGGAGCGGAAATGCTTTGAGCTTTTTAAAGCTGCAGCATCAGCGGATCAGTTGCTGGTGCATGAGTTGAAAACACAGGTAGGATAACTCCTAACTCATGTTTTTGATATAGCTATCGGTGTTTTGGTAGGTACAAAAGGCTGGCCACTGCTCAAGAGATTTTCTTGGCCGCTAGGCTGGGGACTCATGTGATGGAATGACTAAATCACTATATCACCGCTATACTGACGAGGTGGTGTAAAAATTGGTTTTAGCGCAACCTGTGCATATAGCGAATCATTCATGAAGTAGTTGAATTGGTCATGAAAATCTATTTAAAAAGATTACCAGGAGCAGTAATGCGGCTGTAAGCAATACCATCACCATATGTTCTTGGCTACTTTGCTCTAGGTGACCATCATAACCCGTGATTGTTTCAATATGGCAATACCTATGATAGTGTACATCAGTGGCATAGTCACTGATGTTCAATCAGTCGATTAGGCGATTTTTCATCAAATCATTTAGTAGATAACATAACAGCTAAACTTTTGTATGCATGAATGGATAGAAAGGTGTTAATAATCATTTTGACTAACGAGATTCTAGAAAACATACAAGGCTTCTGACTTACCAACAACAAATGCCAAACATTAAAATAGACTTGCTATTATGTAAGTGTCAGTATTATCATATCATGTTTATTCCCTTGGGTTCCTGGTGGAACATAGGGCTTCAGCAACACGTCTCCACTAGCTTCTATTCTCTACTGTCCTCTCCAGCTAGGCCCACGATCGCCCATAATCTTCCATCTCCTTCTCGCATGTTCTCTTACATGTCGCCCTAGGACGACCCACTCGTCGCTTCCTATTGGGGTTCCACTCGAGAAATGGCCTGGTGCGCGATGTCATTTGACGGCCTTCTCAACATATGTCCGATCCATCTCCATTTTCTCCTACATATTTATTGAGCAATCGTCTCTTGGTTAGTTTGCTGCCAGAGTTTCTTGTTGCTGATTATTCCTGGTCAGCTGGCCATTTGACTTTCGGTATGGAGCCAGAGAAAACAGCTGCTGATAAAAGTCTTTAACTGGTTGGAAATCCTTTCCGTGATACGCAGTGCAAATTTCTGACCCGTATTGAAGTATTGACTGACTTCACATTGGTTTTGAAAATCCGAATCTTGTTATTTATGCTGGCTGAGTGCAGATTCCCAAACTGATTTCAGGTTGATGAAGGCGTATCTTATATATATATATATATATATATATATATATGTCATATAAACGGGTAAGCTTACATCTAACCTTTCTGATTCTGGCTAACTTTGACATCCTCATCCGTTCTGACTGCCTGTGGTTGAGACCGTGCTTCCTGGTCATACAAGTGAAGGAAGTAACTTCTGTTAAATCCTTCCCTATGACGGTGATTGGTGCTGGTGATGATCAGGGAGATACCTAAACTGTTATCACAGCACACACCTAAGATTCTGATACAGTTTAACGAATAAGTCACGACTTCGTTGGCTATGATGAACACAGAACAAATTGAGTAGTGAAAGCTTTTTACGGATATGGGTAACATCTCACAGGTTCGGTAACATTAAAAAAAATAAATACTTGGTACAGAGCTGCATTTTTCACCGTTGTGGTCTAACTTGATGTTAAGTCGAGGATCCAATCAATCATAGTTACACGAATGCAACATACTTTTCCATGTTAGCATGTTGCGACAACTTATGCATTCATGAGTATTATTTGCTATGGTTTGGGAAACTAGCTCACGTTGATCACAAATAGGGTGGCAAAATTGGCATCAAAGTAAGTAATTTCCCACGAAATTTCAAATAATATATGAAAATGTTAAGTGTGTGGTGAAAATGGATACTTGACCAAAGCTTGCGATAATCGCACAATAGACTTCAATTTTAAAAAATCAAAATAGACTGAAACCTGCTTGGGTTAGTTCCTGTTCTACAAGTGTATCTATCTGCATTTTGATAATATAAGTTTCTATGCCCCCACCGAATTGATTTGAAACAGCTGCCAGAAAGTGTAACCAGGATTATCGCTAAGGTGCAGTTGGAGCCCGGAAACACGATGATGTGATATGTGAAGCACTGGATAATGATATAGAGCAAGAAAGAGTTGAGTCAGAATAAACCACGTCGGGCTCACCAAAACTAGGAAACCAATTAGTTGGTCTACTTGCACTGATTTAAGATAGCCTCCAGTTGGATTCAACTAGAAATAACGGTCACGACTGATGTGTGTCTATTAATCCTGCTATGTATGAGCGCTAACCACACCACATGCTGACACTTTAGCCTAGCCCACCCAATCTGGTGGTTAGGCTGCCCTAAACACCACCCCAACTAGCGAAAGGAGAATACGATACTTACAGCTGCTGAAAGTTATTAGCTACTAATTGGATGAAGTGCACAAGTATTAATCACTGTGTGTTTCAGTCCGCATAGGTAAACAAGTTGATCATTGACTGGACTTATCCCGGTCCTCAAACTACTGTCTTAACTGAAGCCAGGTAAATCACCTGGACTCGACGGACTTCACCCTAAACTGTTAATTTCCTTGGTGGATATAATATATATTCCACTTACGGAGATTTTTCTAATGTCTCTGACTCAGGATAAGCTACCCATGGACTGAAAAGATACCATTATAAGCCCTATCTTCAAAGAGGGGAACAGGCAATTGGTATCTAACTGCTGGCCGGTAAGTCTGACATGCATTATAGCAAACGTATTAGAAATAATTATAATGGATCAGCTTCAGGCTCATGGGGTAAAACATGGCTTGCTGGTGGTGGAACAGCATGGATTCCGATCAGGATGATCCCGCCTGACAAACCCACTATTGGCTAAGGAAGACTGGATGAGGTATGAGATAAAAATCTTCTGTTGGACGTGGCTTTTATCGATCTTATTAATCATCATCATCATCATCATCATCATCATCATCATCATCATCATCATCATCATCATCATCATCATCATCATCATCATCATCATCATCATCATCATCATCATCATCATCATCATCATCATCATCATCATCATCATCATCATCATCATCATCATCATCATCATCATCATCATCATCATCATCATCATCATCATCATCATCATCATCATCATCATCATCATCATCATCATCATCATCATCATCATCATCATCATCATCATCATCATCATCATCATCATCATCATCATCATCATCATCATCATCATCATCATCATCATCATCATCATCATCATCATCATCATCATCATCATCATCATCATCATCATCATCATCATCATCATCATCATCATCATCATCATCATCATCATCATCATCATCATCATCATCATCATCATCATCATCATCATCATCATCATCATCATCATCATCATCATCATCATCATCATCATCATCATCATCATCATCATCATCATCATCATCATCATCATCATCATCATCATCATCATCATCATCATCAGTCCCTTGACTTTCGTCGTGGGGGTGCTATGACAGTTCGCGCTATCAGTCTTCGCCATTCTTCTCGGTTTAATGCTATTTTCTGTAGCGTATCCAAGGGCATTTCAGTCCACTCTTTTATGTTGTGAAGCCAGCTCTTATTCGGTCGACCTCTCTTTCGTGCTCCTCCTACTGTGCCTTGTAGAATCGTTTTGGACAATGTGTCATGTCTTACCGTGTGGCCGAACCATTGTAGTTTCCGTTTCTTTACGATTGAAAGGAGTGGTTCCTGTTTTCCTGCCAGTCTATGGACCTGGTGTAAGACATATTCATTAGTTTTCCTTTCAAGGTAACTTATTCCTAGGATCCTTCTATAGCTTTTGTTTTCGAAGGCTTGTATTCTTCTTTCTGTCTCTGCATTCAGGGTCCAGCTCTCACATCCATATAGGAATACAGAGAGGACCAGTGACGAGTAGAGTTTCATTTTTGCTGAGACGCTGATGTTGCTTTTCCATATTTTCCCTAACTTGGACATGGTGGCAGAGGCTAGGTTTAGTCGAATTTTTATTTCCTTAGTGGACCTTCCATCTTTTGTTAGGGTAGACCCAAGGTATTTGAAAGTTTCAACCTCTTCTAATACATGTCCATCAAGTCTGATACATCTATCTGAGTTGTTTCCTCCGTTAATGAGTATTTTGCTTTTTTCTGTGCTGATTTCCATGCCCACAGATTTGGTTGCAACATCAAGTCTTGAGGTGAGGTCCTGAACTTGATCAATGTTTTCCCCAATGAGGGCTATATCATCAGCAAATCTGAGGTTGGAAATTGGTCTTCCGTTTATGCTAAGTGTCGGTGTAAAGTCATGTAGGGTTTGTGTCATAATATGTTCGAGGAATAAATTATTAGTCGGTGTGTCTCAGTAGCTAACTTATCACTTCTGCCCTGTGACACGGCAGCAGAAAGCGCGGTCGTTGTTAAACCGGGCCCCGACCGATCCGGCATGGAGTTTACTGATATTGTTCTCATCATAGCATTACACTGGGTTTGATAGTTCTTGACGGCACCCATCTCCTCTCCAAGACCGATTTTTCCTCAGGGTTGTCTCCCGAAGATGGACTGTCTTTCTGGACTTATGAGCTCCATCTGCCCAGTATTGGGTTTGATAGGTCTTGGTGGCACCCATCTCCTATCCAAGACCGATTTTTCCTCAGGGTTGTCTCCCGAAGATGGACTGTCTTTCTGGACTTATGAGCTCCATCTGCCCAGTATTGGGTTTGATAGGTCTTGGTGGCACCCATCTCCTATCCAAGACCGATTTTTCCTCAGGGTTGTCTCCCGAAGATGGACTGTCTTTCTGGACTTATGAGCTCCATCTGCCCAGTATTGGGTTTGATAGGTCTTGGTGGCACCCATCTCCTCTCCAAGACCGATTTTTCCTCAGGGTTGTCTCCCTAAGGTGGACTTATATTACTTACCTTATCTTACTTACCTTACCATGTCTCCACAACCGTAAGCCCTACAGAGACGAGACTAGTACCAATAGATTCCTCTCGTCGAGCAGAATCCAATGGTATATAAATCAAGGGGTCAACGCTCTTCCTAAGGAAAATACCGGGGTTTCCCTGCGTAGCCGTTCCCGCCTCTCTGGTGTCCCTGAGGTTGATGCTGCCTATTACAGACCTATGCCATAGCATACAACCTAATGTTGCGGAGCTAAAAGTGTCAGGAGCTACGCCTGTAGCATGACCTACAGGCCAAGAGACAGAGTATCCTCCCTAGTCTTTGAAAATCCCTAGTCGGCCGAGGAGAAGCTATGTGTCCTTGAGACTGGTGGTAGTGGATAGATCTCATCGAGGGCTATCCATTGGTATATATCTTCTCTAGGTCCTGGCCTCCCTAAGGAAAATTGCAAGTCTCGGCCCTAAGTGCCCTAGCATAGTAAGCATGAAGCTAGCTAAGTCCGAAATCTGGCCTAAACATGAATAAAAATAATAAGATATAATGTAAAAGGATAGAAGAAGGTTGACGCGCAGAAGATAATCTGAGTACGAAATGCAAGCTTGTGGTGAATAGTCTTGAAGCCACGTGAGTGTTCAGAGTGCAATGTAGATTTTCCACGCTGGCGGCCTTACTCTCCACTGGGAAGGCAACCAACGAAAAATAATAATAATTATAATAATAATATAGACGCTAACTTGTACAAAATCAACTCACTATGAAAGCTCTTCACACCGAAATGTAGATAAATAATTTAAATTGTAAAAAAAACGTACTTAGATACAACAACTTCAGAAAGTACTTCATCGAAAGTCTTCTGGGTTTCACCATTAAATGTAACATTTCCCTCTATTGGGATAAACTTAATGACGACATGCTCAGATCGGCGATTCCCAGTCGAACATTGGAATACTTCACCAAAGCATCCTTCACCGATTTTTTTCAAACTTTTTCGTCGACTATCAAATTTCCAACAACAACAAAATATATTTTTTTATCACATTTAACAGGATTCAGAGGAAAAATAAAAATTACACAGATTTTTGTGTAGGAAATAAATTTTAGAATATGATAAAATTAAGTAAATTTCGAAATGAAATTTGTAGGGAATTCGAAAAACGGATGATCAAAAATTCAGATTGTCGCAGATGAAGAGGCATTCACTCCTTTTACCTTTCCCATGTATCTTCACAACGCCGTATTATTGATTTGCTTTCTTTGACATCCAATCTATCTCCCTGCTAATTGATGCTTTATGCCAATGACCAACTCTATACATTTATACACTACTGATAAATCGTATCAGTAGCACTGCGAACAACAGGATACAAACGTTAAATTGACTTACTTATCTTATTAAGGCATTCGATAAAGTATCCCATTTAGGTCTCCTTAGTAAACTTAAAGGTTTCTGACTAGACCAATGCTTGTCTGAGTGGTTTAGGGATTACCTAATGGATAGAAGGCAGAGGGTTAGAGTTAACGACTCTAGAGTATCGAACAGCATATTATTATTCTACTTGTTAACGGTATGTTAAATATTTCATTAATTCACAAAAGAAAATCCTGATGAAGGGTATTAGCGTTAGTTTGACCGATTGACATTTTCGCTGGTTTCATATTCGATAACCTCCATACACCTGAAAAACAAAGCATATGTAAGGATTAGCACACCATGGAGCTATAAAAGGTAATTGTATGTACCACTATACAAAATAAATAGATTCTATTAATACTAAATAAAGTTTTAATGCAAATAAAAGTATATGTAGTCCACAGCTGATCTTTACGTTGATGCATAAATAGACTTCACATGTTTCCCAGTTTTAGAGAATTATACACGCAAATTTCGAGGCAGTCTCTGAAACATACTTACTGTTAGAACGTTGTTCTCTAATCAAGAATACTTGTAGTCCATTCAAGTAAAAGGAAGATTAAGTTTACGCTAATTACGTTTACTCTAAAAAAATTATTGCAAATATGTAATTTAGAAATTAATCCACAATCTCAGTAATGTCTAGTGAACACAGTTTTATGAATCCTACAGAAATTACATTCGCATATTTAGGAAACTATGGCCATTAAATATAAGGTACATAGGTCTCAACTCTAAACAGTTACGCACAGCGTTAACAGCATAGATTAATCCTTGAAATATCGTAGGACACAGACTGTGGTGATTGACAATTTCTATCTTTGTATTGTTTAAATACTGTTGTTTGTTAATATATTTATTATATGATTTGAAATATAATTCCGCCAAATACAAATTCCTAAATTCATCCCTCTCTGTGTTTTGGTTGAATTCCTGTAATTCGGTCATTGCGAAATACAAATACTACTATTACAAATAACTATCACACAGACGTATTGTGTTTATGAGGATAACAACGCCACATAATGCAGCCTGGACATTCAACCGTGATATTATATTATTATTATTGTTCCCTTGGGTTCCTAGTGGAACATAGGGCTTCAACTGCACGCCTCCACTTGCTTCTGTCTTCTGCTGTATTTTTCACTTGCATCCATGTTAATCCATACTGTTTCAGTTCCTGTTCACACGATCTCCTCCATGTCACCCTTGGACGTCCCACTCGCCGCTTCCCTTTCGAGTTCCACTCGAGGGCCTGACGCGCAATGTCACCCAACGGCCTCCTCAGCGAGTGTCCAATCCATCTCCACTTTCTCCTGCATATTTGTTGAGCGATTGGTTCTTGTTTTGTTTGTTCCCATAGTTTCTTGTTTGTGATTCTTTCCAGCCATCTGATCTTCAGTATAGAACGAAGACAGTTGTTGATAAAGGTCTGCAACCTGTTGGAAATATTCTTGGTGACCTGCCAAGTTTCTGATCCGTATAGCAAAACTGACTTGACGTTTGTATTGAAAATCCGAATCATTTTGTTGTTGATGCTGAGTGACGAAGATTTCCAGATTGGTTTGAGATTGATGAATGTGTTTCATGTACTGTTTCATGTAAATCAAAATTCCAGGACAAATTCACCTCCATTATTGGTGGTCGAAAATATTAAAACATAGACATTGAGTATGCAGTGTCAGTGGAAACGGTATAATAGATAGTAGAATGACGGCAATAGTGCTAATAGATCACCTTTCGAACAAAGAAACATTGGCGCAGAATAATCTGGATCCATTTTATTTCGTCGGTTCTCATCAGCTGCGTACAACCTGAATTCTTAAATTAAATAAAAAAGTGTACAATTTTAACAAACTTTTGTCCATTAGCAAGCATATTGTCAGAGCGTCATAGTGAAATAAGGCGTTGCGATTTACAAGGTGTCTAAAGTGTTACGATATATATATATATATCTTGTTAGAGAGAAGTTTCTTGAAAAAAAAATTAATTAACAGTTGTGTTGTTGGGGTGGTAACAAAAGAAAATTAGTAATAGTTACGTAATTAGATAAGAGAAGATCAAAATTTCGGTGCACATGAGGTCAGATGAGAAGTTGATGATGTAATACAGTGAGCAGAACTCAGAAGATCAAGAAAAATTATCTCTTAAGAGAGTCA